TAGGAGAAAAGTAGACAATACGAAATTACGAACGACGCGCACCCTGTCCAACAGGATTCAAGAACACTATCCTGCCAGCATGGTTGCGAAAAGGCAATAGTGGTGCAATAAGGAGTGAGATAATTGAACACCTGGGGTTAACACTGATCATTCCATGTCAACAAACGACTCCTGCTTCAATGTAATCCACAGAGTCAAGAATAACCTATCAAAGGCAATACGCTTTCGTCTTCTTTGTATCGCTAAAGCTCTGGCCATTCACATAGAAAAACAGGAGCTGTGCATACAAAAGAGAATTAATTACTCAACCACTCCTACTGTCATCGTAACAAATTTGTTGATTTTTGATAACTTAATTTTGTTTGTTTGCCTGTTCCTCTGATTGCTTATAATTCTTGTATTCATTTAGAACTCTTACGTAATTTCGTATTTTCCTCTTTGTTCCTATGTGAATCCTGAGTAAAACTCAATCATCAAACTATTCGTATTATTACTTACGTAACTTCCTTTTAAGAATCGTTTGTGACAACTCATCACCTTTGTTACTACCTTAATTTCATAAACACCTAATTTTCTTGACTGATATTGTACTACTTAATTCCAATTACCCCAATCTTCACCTGTTTAGTTAAAATAACCGTAACCTATTGAGATTTTGTTTGACAAACTTAATGTACACATGCACATAAAATAATATATATATATTTGTGATTGTACAGCTATGAAATTGAATTCGCTGCTGAAAAGAGACTCTTTGCTGAACTACGTTTTTTTTATTTTCATCAATGCCTCGATGGTGATTATCCATGAATCACAATTGCTCATATTAAGAAAATGAAACTGTATCAAGTTTTGATCCAACAACTTCAATCACTGAGATTGCTAAAAAATGCCTTTCATGCCAAAACAATTTACATAAACAATCATTTCATTTCTTTTTGTGCTTCTTCTTCTAAAAAGCTGTCTGAAAAAAGCAAGTTTACATAACACTCCCATGCAGCTTTTTATGACAGCTGTGCATATGATCAGATTAAAGCTTGGTATACAATTTTCATCCCCAAAAAGTGTTATTGTCTTAGTCCATTCTTAGTGGTTTACGTAAACACCAGGTGTATCATTCCATTCCAGTTTATATCAGGCTTCATAAACACAGAGTAGTTAAAACTACTTTGTAAGGTATTTTATAATCATAATAAGAAACAAAAGTACATCAATGTAAAATGATGCATTTTGTTATTGTTATTTTCAATAGTTGGTTTGTAAGGAATAGATTTATTTTATTTTACGAGTTGATCACGGGTTTATATTGGATAGAGAACCATTGAAAATCACCAACTGAAGGAGTACTGGACAGCTGTTTCATCCATCCTTTGCTTGGGAATCATCGGCAGTAGACACCCGCCCCGCCGCCAGGGTTCGAACCCAGGAGTTTCCCGGTTACAAGGCAAGCTAACTCGTATACTATTCAGCCATCACTGGGACTTCAACTCCTCAATGGCCAGTCCATGAATTCTAACTTCTACCGGTTCATGATGAGTTTAACGCCACCACCAGCCAATGTCTTCGGTGGGACATCCATCCTCACACTTTACTGGTTGGAGGATCTCACTGATCACCACTCCTCACTCGTGTTATCATTGGGGAAGAAAGTGGGCAATTGATTACCTTCACACCAGAAGATCACTTAGCAAAAACATACAACAAACTGTTATGTGCTGTTGCAAACCAGTCCTTACGATCACGTCTTACTTAACTCTATGTCTCTCACCTTGATTCGATTCGGTTTCGAATACCCAATCGGATTTTATTCCAAATCATTCCACTCAGACAGAGAGACAGACACTATCACAATGAAGTCCTACATCAATATGCTTAGATAACCGAACATCTACACACCGGTTACAAAAAATGTGATAACAGAATTCCCCTAATAGTCGAAAGACACCGTAAGATTAACGTGGAAAGGCTGACAGAAGCATAAAAATGAATAAAATGTATTAATTTATCTATAAGAATCAAGTGAATTTCAAACCGTGTTGTCTAGGAAGTTTGAAAATCGATTACAGTCGACTAACATTCCTGCTCAACTTAAAGAATAGCAAAATATAGAATTTGAACGCAGCATTGACCTTGAACGCTTAACTTTCATTGGATTAAAGAACCTAGCATTATTACAATGCCAATATAAATCCTGTGCACCATTTGAAGTGTAAATGTAGACTGGATATTGCTTTTAATTACTGTTTGGATAACGGATTAATAGCACGTAGTTGCAAAGGCTCTTTTCGAGGTCGTATTTATATTTATCGTTTTGGTTTGTAGGAATTTGACTGAATGGTTACAAGATTTCATCATGAGGGAGTACTGGACAGGTGTCTCGTCTTAGTTTGGGGCTCTTCATCAGCACGCGGCCAAACTAGGACGAAACAGCTGTCCAGTACTTCCTGCAGGTTTTCTAATGGTTCTCTAACCAATGTCAGCTCATGTTGAAATCCTGTAACCAAAACAAAGAGAATTAGTTGTGGAAATAGTAAGTCACACACACTTTATTCAATAAATTCTAGGAATTTTCTTTTCGAAATCAAACCTGTCACTGACTAATATACTTTTACTGTGCCTTTATTGGGGTATGAAAACTGAGGCCACATCGACGGCTGCACAGACCGGAAGTTCATCGGTACCGGTAATGTAGGAGTGTAGCATCGTGGAAGATCAATACCACCAAGCAGTTTTTGGGAGGAGTGGGGTTCAATGTTCATATAAATGAAACCGTTTTGAAAAAGAAGTGAAATTGTAGTCACCCCACAAAGAATAGTATATGGTTATTAGGACTTTATCACACTACTGTTGGTAAAGGAATTGTGGAGGTAATTCCAAATCGACGTGAGAAGACTTCCCTACCTATTATACAATGGTAAGTAATTCTGTGTACTATAATTCATACAGACGAATGGGCAGGATACAATCCATTATTCAGATTTGGGTTTCATTCGTCATTGTGTCAGTCATTCAAGTGACATTATCGATCTCATCACTGGAACGTATACTAATTCCTTAGAGGCTGAAGAACAGGATTTGAGAGATAAATAGCTCACAAAAACTGTCATTTTTAGTCATTTCGATGAGTATATTGTATAGAAACTAGTTTAAGCTTAAATATGATACCCATCATCGCAAGTGGGAATTATTTTTAACTCATCTCAAGAAGAAATATCCTCTTTAATGTATTGTATTTTTCTTCTAATTCAAAAGGCTTTTTCATTGGTACGTTTCAGGGTCACGCGTACGCCTGTACTCATTGGTCACTTTCCTTAATGTTTACCACATATCCCATCTATACAATTTAAAACTTCATACATATATCCATACTTAGCATTGTTTTGAATCCAGGTCAAGCATTTCATCATTCTATATTCTTGACAGATTAGATACACCATGTTGTCATACGCTTAGAATCAGTGACCAATTTTAAATCCAACAGGTAAGCTAATTAACATCTGGGTGTCTAGAGTTATACTCACTAAATATGTACCAGTAACACTAATTTAGGACTATTTCATAAACATTACTGACTGTCGGTTCCTCATTATCCTGAGATTCTAAACCAGATGACTTATGCCTACACAGACAGCCTAAACAAACAGTCAGAAGTATTGTTAAATGAAGTACTTTTCAGGCTGAAAATGGTTGGCTGTAGTCTCATAATGGCATCCCAAGAAGCTCAATCACACGTTGAGCAAAAGCTTTATAGTTATTATTAAGCAAGTTAATCAAAATTCTCTTGATGATACTGCTGAAGCTTGTGCCATCAGATTAAAGGAGCTGGATCTACGTATGTGAAGGGATATGGTAGTTAGCTTGAATCTACCTTGATAGCATACTCTTATTTTACCTTTCTAAGTTTGTTTTCACTCCCTCTTCTCATTACAATACTTTCCCATTATTATTATTATTATTATTTTACCTGATGTAATGTTAGCTTTCTTAGGATATAAACAAATCGAAAATCATAGCTGAATATTCATCTTAGTGAGGAGTGTTCACATTATCTTATGAGTTTCGACCAAACATTGTTAAAATCTTGTTATTTAGTCCACTATGGACTACATTTGTTCACTTTATTTATTTGTGTTTTTTAAGGAGTTCCCTTGTATTTCCAATATTTTCTATTTCTATTTGGTTTGTAACGGTTAGTTTTGTTTCACGAGTTGATCATGGATTGTTATCAGTGAGAGAACCATTGAAAACCACCAGCTGGGAGTACTAGACAGCTGTTTCATCAGCCTAGTTTTGGGAATCATCGGCAGTACGCACCCACCATCAGGGTTCGAAGCTATGACCTTCCAGTTACAAGGAAAGCTGACTCGTATAGCATTCAACCATTACTGGGACCCGATTCAGTGGCCAGTCAATGAATTCTAACTTCTACCAATTCGCGATGAGTTCAGCGCGACCACCGACGAATGTCATCAGTGGGAAATCCATCCTTACACTTGATTGGTTTGAGGACCTCACTGGTCACGACTTCTCAATAGAACCCCAGGTAATTACCTACCTGAATAGGGTGCTCACTAGCGACTTGCCCTATTCAGTTAGGTAGTTACCTGGGGTTCTAGTGGGAAGTCATGACCAGTAGGGTGCAATAGGTCGGGTGTTAGGAAAAATACTCGCCGAAGACATTGCCTAGCGGTTGAGCTATATCATAAATTTACAGAAGTTAGAATTCATGGTCTGGCCATCGGATCGGGTCCCAGTGGCTTAATCATCTACGAGCTAGCTCGCCTTATAACCAGAAGGTCCTGGGTTCGAGTCTCGATGGGTGCACACTGAGGAGTCCAAAAATAGGACTAAACTGCTGTCCAGTACTCCCAGCTAGTTTTCCAATGGTTCTCTAACCAATGTCAGCTCATGATGAAATCCTCTAACCTAACTTCTTCCCTTCTAGATGAATGCAAGTATCATGAGTGTTGCCATAACTTCACCTCACAATTCCATCCAAGTAAACTGGTGCAATAAAATGTGATTATATCAATAATTAAAGTAAATTATTCAACATAAGAGTGAAAGTTATAATAACAATAACAGTAATAACGGTAAACTACACGGTGGTCTAAATTAAAGGATAAGGGTGATTTAGTTGATCAGTTAATTATGTAATGAAGGTTGACATCTTATGTAGTTGTAGTAGTAGTAGTAGTACGATAAATCAATAATAAACTGAACATATCTGTAGGTAAATCAATAAAATTAACAATATTAATAAAGCAGAATCCATAATTAGTGAAAGTTAACAATGAATGAAGGCCGTAAAAGAAGACGAGGAGACCAAGGATGATAATTCATCATAATTTATCAGGAAGGCGGGAAAGCAGAAGGATAGTTCAGTCTGTTAAAAGCCAAAAAAGTCAATAAAATAAATGAGGATTTTTGTGTTTTTTGTTTTTCTAAATTGTGACATAAAAATAAAAACTGAGAAACGAAAGAACAACACAATAATAATGTAACAACATTGGAAGCGAATGTGGTGAAATTGACAACAACAACAAACGACAACAAAAAAACGGGAGAATAAACGGAAATGCGAAGGAGTCGAAAATGAATGACAGTAAGATGTGTGTGTGTCATTAATGCGTATAACAGTAGCAAGACTATTGTCGTTTATAGTATTATTATTGTTATTATTATTCAGCTCCAACTTCAGCGGCAGGAGCTGAATGTCCACTGTCAGCTTTACCAACTATTTGGAAGCCTTCCTCTGTCATGACAACAGCTTGTGATGGAGCAATACGTTGGTATTCTTCAGTATAATTAGCACCTGAAAAGACAGTGCGTCGATCATGGAAAGATCGTGGATCTTTAACACGTTCATACTGGCTATACATGACGACCATAGGCTAGAAAGAAAGAAAGAAAAACAACGAAAAGAATAGTAGGAAATAGGAATGACAGGAAATTGATTTTATGTAGATTTGATGATATTTAAGATGGTTGGAGGCAATCGGCCACAGGGAGCCTTGCCTGACCTTCGGTTTCGTGCTAGTTGTCACTCACCAATCAGTCAGCAAGGAGTATCTGCAACCTTGAAGGAACAACTCATGTCCCTTCTGAGGAGATTCGAACCCGCATTAACCAGTGAGCGCTGCAGTCAGAGACGTTAACACTGAGCTATTCGGGTTCGCGATTTACCTCCTGTAGGACTGTAGTGGATACTTTGATGTCTAGTCCTTTCTTTGGTGCAGACTGAATTCTACCAGTTAGGTTTGTAATATGGCCACCATGCTACTTATTGGCTCGCCATCACGGTGCACATTGATTTTATCGTAGCACAAATCATTTAAACAACAGACTCTTAGGGTTCAAAAAAACAAACACCGATAGATGAATTAAACTTACAGGAATACCACTGAATTTAGCGGCCAACGGATCTGGTGTATTTGAGATTGCTTTTGCCTTACCACTAGAAATATAAGAAGAAAAGGACAATATACACACAGCTTCACAGCTTTGTTCTTCTCAAGTATAAAAGAAATTTAGTAAAGACTCTCAGCCACAAGGTTAGAGCTATATGCCCAGAAGAAGTAATTGAAGATGAATTAAGCATTATATATATGATATTTTGACCGAAAACACCTATACCGAAAAATTTATCAAAAAACACATGACAAAGAAAGCGGAAAAGCACTACTCACTATCTGTAAAAACAAGAAACCACTTTATATACGACTACAATTCAAGGGTGATCTACCAAGTGAGATAATTACGAGCAAATTAAGAAAATCAGTTTAAAGAATTTTTAATGCTGGCGAACTACACGACTGATGGTGCTACCTCAACTGAAAGATGAAGTACCTAGACTAGCCAATTCTAATTGTATCTACCAATTCAACTACGCTTGTGGCGTGAGTAATATTGGCCGTTGCTCTAGGAACTTGATTTTGCGTGCTCACTCGAGAACATCTCCCACTCCCATGGCTAAGTAAAGGTGTAGTTAAAACTGTTAACAGTTAAATATTGGACCATCTAGTGCAAACTGGTCACAAAGCCAGCCAGCGTGGAAGAATCCTTCTTTGTCATCATCTACCGGGTGCCTAATAAATTCAGAAAATCATCGAAGCACCGCATACTTTAAACAGCAGAGGCTATTGCAATGCGCCTCAAACAACCAGCGCTTGGTGTTCAAAAGAAGCAAGTCCAGCTCCTACTACTGCCCTGGCTGGCCTTCAGTAGAAACAATAAACTCTTGAATTTGTAATATTATCTTTCCTAATATATCTGACATTCAGCTTATTTTATGTTGATGCTATTCAGCTGTAATCTATCAATATTATTGATTCAATGTTATTTAAACAACATTAATGTTGTTCATAACACTAATTCATTCATTCACTATAATGTATATATAGCTGTAGAACCTAATGATGAAGGGGTTATAGAAAAGAGTACTCTTTGTTCAGTATCCATTCTTTTGAAAAATAATTTTAAAAAAATAAAACATGAAGTTAGAAGTCGTAAATTGGAATTCTGATTCCATAGGACAAACGCTTGCACACACACACACACACAGAAGCTAACTGCTTCTATCCGCTAAATAATTTGCTTCTAGAAGAAGTAAATAAACAGGGTCACTATGACAACTCACCCTTTGTTAATCTGACGTGCACGTTCTGCCAATTCTTGCATCTGAAATAGATAAAAAAAAGTATTTGTGCGTCATGCGGTGCGCAGAAATATAATTGGAGACTATAACTCAATCCATGTGTATGTCAGAAACATTCACACGTTGAAGCGTCAACCTTTCCCACACTATTGATAATTTTTAAAGTGAGATTACCGAAGTTATTACCGGAAATTTAGAATGACTCAATTAACTAAGTCAAGTATGAGGAGAGTTTCTTACCGATAGCATGACGTGATATGCAGACTACATCGTGAAATCGTAAAAGTAAGAAACCATAGGCTCTTTCTGTTTTCGAGGCAGTATTTGACTTACCTCAGGACCAAAGACGTTCAAATGAAAGTTCTGTCATATCTTCGAATATTACTGCTAGAGAATTCCAAACTTCGATAAAGAAACAACCATGAAATGCTCCTTGTGTTTCTCTAAGAGGTAACCATTTGTGACAATTTCTACTTTAGAATAAATCAAAACCTCGGAAACTCTAATTCTGAATGTTGGTGCAGTAGTTAATATTTTGATGTCAGTAGAAAACGTACTATCCTCTATACCTGCAGATATGCAATAGTAGCTCTATAAGAAGTGGAATAATTGAACACAGTTTGTCAAAACATTGGTCACATCCATCTCAATAAACGCCTCCTCTTATTTCAGAGTAATCTTCAAAGTGAAGAACAACCTACCGAAGGTAATACTCTTTTGTCTCCTCTGCATTGCTGAAGTTTTAACCACTCAGTTAGAAAAAGGAGAGCTTCGCATACAAAAAGAAATTATTCAACTACCTCTACTATCATGGTAACAGCCTTCTTGATTTCTGTTCGTCTTTTTTTTAAAACTCTTGATGACTCTTGTATTTCTTAAGAACTCACTTTCAAATAATTCCATATTCTCCCTCGTTTCTATGTGCATCTTGGTTACAATTCATTCACTAAGTTATTCGTCTTGTTGCGTAACTCTAGTACACTTATTATTATTTGTTCCTTTGATTCTTAGAAGAACATAGGGCTTCAGCTGTACCTCTCCACTGCGTTCGGTTTTTTTACCAGCTTTTTCACCTGGCTCCACGTATGCCCACATGCTTTCATCTCCTCTTCACATCACCTCCTCCTCTATGTCACCCTTGCATTGACGACCAACTCGCCGCCTCTCATTCGGTTTCCACTCGACCTAAGGTCTGGTGTGTCACTCACTCACACCCACTTAATGGTTTGTTTTCTCAGAGTATGGCCAGCCAATCCACCTCCATATCTTCCCGCTGAGCTGGTTCGCTCATTGCCAGAGATGCCTGTTGCTGATATTTTCTCATCATCTGATCATGAGTATTGGGTGAAGACAGCTGTTGATGAAAGTCTGTAGTTTTGTTCGAAGTGCCTTTCGTGACAATGCGTGGTGCCAAGTCTCTGATCCGTATAAAGTACCACTGACATCACAATGGAGTTGAGAATCCACATCTTGTTTTTCATGCTGCGTATGCTGTCGACCTCCACACAGACTTGAGAGTAATGAAATCTTGCCTTGCTTTCCCGATCCTCGCTTTGATGATATCCTCATCAGTTCCATCCGCCTGTAGTTGAAACGATGTCCCCTAGGTAGGTAGTAAGGTGGTGAATGAGGTTGCTTCTTTCAGACTCCTTCCAATTATGCTGACTGTCGTCCTCTGTTGTTGTTGTTGTCTGTTGCTGTTGGCATGCATTGACTAACATAAACAACTATGTTAATGACAAGCTATCACCTCTGTTACTATACTCCTTCATGAAAAGAGGATATATATATATATAAATGTGATTGTACAGTTGAGTGTTGGAGTGGAAATTCATTTTCTGAACTACGTGTTGTGTTTTCAATAATGTCTGGATGTAGACTTTAATTTCGGAAATCCATTAAATCTGTAAACAGTCAGGCCATGAAATTATGCTGTCGAATTAGCAAAATTCTGGTTTCTATTCTGAAGGACAAAATCAGAAGTCCTGAATGCAATCAAGATGCTAAAAGCTGGAAAAGCAGCAGGACCAGATGGAATCCCAGCAGAAGCATGGAAAATGGACCCAGAGACAACAGCGGAATTGATGACGCCACTGCTGGAGAAGGTGTGGAAAGAGGGCAAAGTACCCGAGGATTGGAAGAACGGATACTTATTCAAACTACCAAAGAAAGAAGACTTAAGTCAATGTAAAAACTGGCGTGAAATTATGCTTCTGTCCATTCCAAGCAAGATACTGAGTCGCATCATCCTGGAGAGAATCAAACAAATCCTGGATGCAAAACTCCGACCGGAACAGGCCGGATTCAGCAGAAATAAATCATGTATTGATCAAATCGCCACTCTACGGATCATCATTGAACAAAGCTTGGAATGGCAGTCACCTCTCTATCTCAACTTCATCGACTTTGAAAGGCCTTCGACAGCGTCTATCGAGAGGTGATTTGGCAACTACTTCGAGCAGCTGAAGCCCTATGTTCCTCTAGGAATTAAAGGATATAATAATAATTCTGAAGTGAAATTCTAAAAAGATTTTGATATCACTTCATGAGTTTTAAAAGAAACTCTTCAGAATACTTCCACTCATACCTTTTAACAAGGTAACATCTAATATATACTCATTGAAATAGTTCTTTTCTGACTCATAATTATAATTGTATTCAACAGTTTCTCCATATAGCATCACCGTCGAGTTATTTCCTCGTAAATCGAATATCTCATGTCAAGAAATGAATGTGTCAAGTGTCAGCAGTAGGAGTTCATCAGAGTTTACCATGCATTCGAAGTATGCCAACTGATGTTCAAACTACCTCATATTTGCTACCTAATAGCTTGTAACCATGCTCCAAAATGTCAAAATCTCATCTCTTAAGAATTAATTATACAATCAAAACATGAAAATAGCATTATTGTTAAGATGTAGTAATATAAAAGTTATAACACAAGAATTACATCATAACTTTGTCGTGTGAAACGTTGAGACAAATCATAAATATCACCCTCCAATCGACAGATAAGATCGTGTAGCTCTTTTGCCTTAGCTTTCAACTGGTCAGCAGTGAAACCAGTGATATTCAATGGTTGAATACGTTGTTCTAAGATAGCCTTCTTCTCAGCTTCTAACTGTTCTTTCGATTTGGTCACCTCCTCTTTCTTTTCTTCTTGTGTTACTTGTGCCTATTCGATTGATAAATTGAAAAAAAATAATTAAAAAACAATATTTGATCAAAGAATAAACTGAAATATTCAAAAGTGACAGTTCCATTAGGAGAAATAAACCAATCAGAATTGCCCTACCTAAGTGATCGATGTTCAGTCTGGAGATAAACCAATCAGAATTGGCCAGCGTAAAAACAACGCCCACTAACTAATTTATTGATCATGATTACAAACCAATTGATGATTTTTTGAAACATACATGATTGTGTTTAAAATATACTATGGCTGTGATACTGAAATATACCTTTCGGTTCACGTCATAAAAATATGTTGTTGGCGTAGTCAAACAGTATTCGTGCTCAGCGTGACTGTGTCCAACTAGGCGTCTGTATTTCAACCTCAGTGTTATTACGAAATATACAAAAAGTGCTGAGATCATGCTGTGGCTAAAGTCAGAGGAATCACTTGTGCAAAGTTAACAATTTAAAATACATAGACGTGTTCAGAAGCGAACAGAGTCACACTTTCTCACCACTTGTGAATGTCATTTTGTAACTTTAAAATGTAAGGCTGTTGAGTATACTTAATTCATTTTCTTTGGTAACTGTGTTACAGTGACAAACTCTGTGCTGCCTACTCACATAAAAGCTTAACACTGATGACACTAGTGAAATACTCACTTGTTTGTCAAAGTTTAATTGGTAGACCTTGTTTCACTGCCGATTAGGGAAACATAAGTGATGAAAGTCAATGAATGACATAGTGACTTAAGGTAAAACCAAGCATTTGAAGATTTCACTCGATAATTTCCGAGGACTTGGTCATATCTTATTCATCAAACCGATTATTTCTTCTCATACAGACCTCTTCAGAATTCACAGACTCTATAGCTAATGAAACTCACATATCCTAACCACTTCATCGTATTTAAAATTACCACTACACACTTACGCACACACTACGTCATATTCGAGACTAATACAAAAAATGAAAAAGAAAACTTACATCTGGCTCTTTCTTTGTAATAACAAAGTTTGGTCGATTAGCATTTTTACGTTCCTCCCATTCTTTCTTCTTACGTTCACGTTCCTCTCGTTTACGTTGTTCCTCTTCACGTTTTTTTCTCTGTCTTTCTTCCTGTTAAAATAGAAACAGGGGTAATTCATACTGATGAAACGAAGACTTTTACTTTGTTTTTTAAATATATATATATATATATTTAAACAAAATAGAGCGAACAATTGTGGTTTCAATAAATTCTTTTTCTTCAGGCTCTACAATTATAAATCCATTAATTTACGCATACAATAGCCAGTCAGCCAGCAAAGGCAAGTATAAGATAGGATGGAACAATAGTCAGTTAGTTTTTAATATGCATCGTCAATGAGAACATGAGATAAAATGATATGACTGGATGGAGGATTTCATCGTGAGCTGACATCAGTTAGCGAGCCACTGGAAAACTACCTGGGAGTACTGGACAGCTGTTTCGTCCTAGTTTGGGACTCTTAATCAGTACGCACCCGCCCACCAACGGGGTCCGAACACAGGACCTTCTGGTTAACAGGCGAGTTCGTAGACCATTGAGCCACTGCGATTCGATCCAATGGCCAGCCAGTCCGTGAATTGCAACTTCTGTCAATTCTGTCAATAGTTCTCTAACTAATGTCAGCTCATGATGAAATCCTGAAACCAATCAAATCCCTACAAACCAACACTTGAATTAATGGTGTGTGCATATATATAAAAACAGTCAACAGAAAATTCAGGTTTCGAGAGTGATTGTAATCAGGGTGTGTGAGACAATATGAAAGTAAACCAACGAATGGGACGCACAAGGTTGAAAATAATGACAATAAGAATGATCGTAAAGTAATAACGATGATATGATGTAAAATTACAAGTACTATTGGTGAATGACTGTCAAATAATAATAAGGAATATAATGAAATGGAATGAACATGATTTTGTAAATACGATAACAAGTTAGAAAAGTACTACTTAAACCGAAGGTAATAGAAATCATATGAAGGGTCATGAAGTCGTAAAAGGTCAGAAATCAACGTTTGTCAATGAAACAGAGGAATAGAAGAAGAGGAAAAGAAAATTTTGATAGGAATTTAAAGTCCTAATGTTTATGGAAAATAACCAACCAACCAACAACAACAGCAGCAACATCCAGCGTCAATCACCATCAACACGAGGGATTTGAAAGAGTTCACTTCATTCACTTCACTTATCATCTAGGGAGCATTGTCTCAACTACGGGCAGTTGGAACGGACGAGGATGTCAAATCGATCGAGAATCGGGAAGGCGAAAAACACACACACAATCTGGAAACCAATCTTCGTCACTCAGCCAGCATCAACAACAAAATTCAGTCAGATTTTCAATACAAACACGTCAAGTCAGTCAGTTCTTCTATACGGGTCGGATCAGAAACTTGGCGGGTGGGTCACAAAGAATATTTCCAACAGCAGCCTGTTGCAGACCAGACCTTTATCAACCAACAACAGTCTTCGCTGGCTCTATACTGGAGATCAGATGGCCGGACCGGGAAGAATCATTAACAACAAACTATAGGAACGAACAAAACAAGAACCAATCGCCAACCAACAAATACGCAGGAGAAAGTGGAGATGGATGGATTGGACACTCGTGGCTGAGGAGGCTGGTGGGTGACATCGCGCGCGCGTCAGGCCATTGCTCGAGTGGAACCAGGCTGAAAGGGAAGCGGCGAGTGGGTCGTCAGTGCAAGGGTGACATGGAGGAGATCGTGTGAAGAGGAGTTGAAACAGGATGGACTAACATGCATGGATGCAGGTGAGAATTACAGCAGAAGGAAGACAGAAGTGGCAAGTGGAGACGTGCAGTTGAAGCCTTATGTTCCACTAGGAACTCAAGGGAGCAATAATAATGCTTATGGAGGTTTTGTTGGCTTTATTGTAGGCCAAGGTAAACATAATAGAGGTTGAACATACTTCTTCTGTATATAAACACTTAGTCTTCTGGTATTGATTGCAACCGCTTCAGCCACTGATATTAACAGCTAATCACGGATTCATATCAGTTAGAGAACCACTGAACCATCGGCAGTACACATCCATCCCCAGGGCTCCAACCTAAGACCTTGCGGTTACAAGGCAAGCTAGCTCGTATACCATTCAGCCATTCGGTTCGAACCCTGGCAGTGGATGCGTACTGCTGATGATTCCAAAAACTAGGCTGATGAAACAGCTGTCCACTACTCCCAGTTGGTAGTTTTCAATAGCTCTCTAACTGATATCAATCAATCCGTGATCAACTCTTAAAAACAAATCTAATCCTTACAAACCAACTTTTGAAAAAAAAAATAGATATGTATTACACACTAAACCAACCTTGATATAAAATTTTATTTGATACAGAAAAACACAACGAGAAGGTGAAACATGCTCCCGTGCGCGCACAAACACACACACACAAACGCAGAGGAACAGTGGATAACTAGATTTCACCAAACTTGACCGGAAAAAATTATTGACTTTCTTTTTTTAAACCACCAATTGTGTAACCTACTTTAAGGATATTCTTCTTTCCTTTACTTATATATATATATATATATATATAAATGTTGTAACAGTAAAGATGGGTGCATTCAGGTGTGTTTTGTAGCTTGTATGTGCAAGTGCATCACTCTCTCCGGGTGTGTGAGGGTGTGCGCGTGTGTGTATAGAGTGCCTTTACTATTTATTTTTAGGTCATTTGTCCATACCATAATATTTCTGTTTTCCGTCAAAAGTGATATTTCTTACCCTCTCATTTTAAAGGTGTAAATTGAAATATATTCATCATTTTTTTCTATGGTATTTATGATATTTATATTTATACATACGTGTATATATGCTTTCTTCTCTTTTTTATATCCTGTAAAGTCAATATCTATGGCTTATTCCGTGCATGTTTCTACCTAAACAGTATGAAAAATTGTAAATTTTACTTGGCAATCTGAAATCCATCTAAGATTAGTATTCAAATTAGATATTTCATCTTACCAGAAGCATATTTGTATAATACTATATTTATATATTTAACTTAAGTATGTCAGAAAATTGATGATGTTTTAAAGAATAGATTGTGGTGTGGAAAAATTTATTTATCATTATTACTACTACTTATTATTACTACTTATTTTTATTTTTATTCTTTTCCGTCTCAAGTGAAGCCTAAGGTTTCAAGCTTAAGCTATGAAGTGTTGATAGTAATGATGTGCCCTCTCTTTACCAGGCCAACGTAACAACCACTTAAGCAAAGCTGAGAGTCGAACCCCCTGGAGTGTGTGAGGTGTGCTTGGTGAGTCATTCTACCTACCACTGAAACACCAATTCACTTTTGTTGAAGAATAAGAAGTCGCAGTTACTCAATTTTCCTAGAAAGATTGGTTGGAGGAATTCACTATGAGCTGACATTGGTTAGAGAACCATTGGAAAACCACCACTGGAGTACTGGACAGCTGTTTCCTCTGTCCTGGTTTGGAACTCTTCAGCAGTACGCACCCACCGGGGCTCGAACCCAGTAGCTGAATGGTCTACGAGCAAACTCGCCTTGTAACCAGAAGGTACTGGGTTCGAAACCCAGCTGATGCGTGTCATTGAAGAGTCCCAAACTAGGATGGGAGAAACAGCTGTCCAGTACTCCTTGTGGCTGGTTTCCCAATGGTTCTCTAACCGATGAAATCTTATAAGCAATCAATCGAATCCCTACAAACCAATACTTAAAAGAAAATTTTCTGAAAAGACTTTGTAATCCTATTCACGACTGTTTGAATATTCATAATAATAAAAGTATAGGTAAATCTGTTACTCCTGTTACTCTTCGTTTTCTGGGTGGAATATCATAGATCCATTCATTTGAGCTTTTTTTTTTCCTTACAGGTTGGTTATTTTCATTCAAAACCTCAAGAAATCTGTCTTGTAGTAATTGACTGAAGTGTACAAGACTGTGATCCATTGTCAGCTGATTCGCGGCCTGCTGTTAGTCATACTTTTTAACACTGACCACTATCCCCTTACAAACTATCATCATTATTATTTCTTTAGGATCTATGTGGGACATAGGGCTTCCGTGGAGCACCTCCATTTCATCCTGTTCTCTACTGTCATTTTCAGGTAACTCCATGATTGCCTATAGGCTCTTATCTCCTCCTCACTAAACGTTCACCCCCATGTCGCCCCAGGTTCAAACCCAACTTATCGTTTCCCATTTGAGTTCCATTCGACGCCTTGACATATCGCTTGATTATAACTTGCTCTGCAGTTGACACTCTGAATCGAGACAAAATTGCCCTTAGTTCATTTTTAAATTTTTCTTGACTATTCACCTCAAAAGACATCAGTGAAACTCAATTCTTATCAGTAAGCACTGAAATTATTTGAATTTAAAGCCAACAAGATAAAATATGCTATGGTTGAATATGAACGACTTGACTACCAACCATCCTTGACTGATTATAACTATTGATTGGTATTTCTTTCAAGAAATAAACTATTGGTTGGAGGATATCATCATGAGTTGACATCAGTTAGAGAAACATTGAAAAAACAGGTTGGAGCCCTATTCCCTTTGGACTCTTCAGCAGCATGCACCCACCCCACTGGGGCTTGAACGCAGGACCTCCTGGTTACAAGGTGAGCTTTCACAAAGACCATTCACTCACTGCAACCATATCCAACGACCAGCAAATGAATTCTAACTCCAGCCAATTCACGACATAGCGAGACTACTCCGCAATATCTTCTTCGATGAATTACTGCCTCACCTTCAACCTGCTGTAACCTACTGGTCACGGCTTCCCAGCAGAACCCCAGGTTAACTGTCTGAATTGGGCCAGTCTCCAGTGAACATCAGATTAATTTTCAAGTATTGGTTTTGTAAGGATTTTGTTTGATTTGTTGGAGGATTTAATCATGAGTTGATATCAGTTAGAGAACCATTGGAAAACCTGCAGGGAGTACTGAACAGCTGTTCCATCCACCATAGTCTCTCTGGACTCTTTATCACTACGCACCCACCCAACTGGAGTTCGAACCCAGGGGTGTCTGGTTACAAGACCAGAGAGCTCGTAGACCATTAAACCACTCACTGGGATCCAATGATGAAATCCTCCAACTAATCAGACAAAAATATCCCAACAAAACCACTACATGAAATTAAGCGACTGTATAAAATATTAATAGAACAGGTGGTAGACTCATAATGTCCTAAAGACCTTTATAAATTTTAACTCAATGCATCCTGGCTGCTGCAAGATTCATATGTATATGCGTCGGTGGCACAGTGGTTAGGACTCTCGCCGACCATGCACATGGCCCGGGGTTCGAGCCCACGCCGACGCACACCTGATATCTATGGTTGGCCTGCGAATTTTGGGCTAGCGATATCCACGCTGAAAATTCCACACTTGTACCAAAAACACGGTGTGGAATCATGCTGTAACCAAAAAATAAAAATACTACTCTGTGTAATAAAATCTTTTTTCGCTGACTTACTTCTTCTGCTCGTCTTTTCTGATCTTCAATTTGACGTAATTCAGCTAATCTCTTTTCTTCTTCTTCACGTTCCATTTTTCGTCGTTCCTAAAATTCCCAAGAGAGTAACAATGAATGCATTATATAAAATTATACAGTAACCCAAATTCATTAGACGCTAAGTAGTTTAATGTATGTGCAAAACTTGGGCACTGTGGTAGGTAAGTAATTCCATATTAGCTTGTTTATTAGGTGTATCACACAGTGAGTGGAACAGTATTATTATTATTTACTGGATGACGTTTCGAACACAATTTATTGTTCATAATCATATCAATTGTGATAACACGACTTTGAAACTTGAGTTTTATAGTTCTCTTTGTCCTCTTCTATTTGTCGTAAGGGTAGTAGAATTTTCCAGATATCTGGATGGACAGGAGTTGAATCACTTCTATTACATGTATTTGCAGTTGATTCGATAAACAAAGTTTCCGTTGTCAATCTTTCCCTCCACCTTGTTACATCAGATTTTAAAACTGTCACCCTGTCCCATCTTATTGTATGGTTGTGTGTAATTGCATGTGGTGAGTGCTATAGCTGAACTATTCTCCAGATTTCTCATCTTATCAGCGTCAACTAATCTAGATTTTTCTAGGTTTTTCTGTTCGGCTAGTCTGACTGGCTGCCTTTGTTCTACTAGTTTGACCCATGTATTTGACCGACAATCATTTCAGTCAGGGTATTAGATAAACTAAATTGTTTTGTTTTAAAGGCTCTACAGGCAGGATCCTTTAACCGATAAAGCTTGTTTCTAATTGAGTTTGTGCTTGGTTTGAATGCCAGCCACTTTTATTCCTGCCCTGGTGAGAATTCTGCGTAAGGTTTCCAAGGTTCCTTCCTTGTATGGAATTACTACTGATGATTTAAATTCCTCTGCCTGTTTATCATGCATGTTATTATTATTTGCAATTGATAGTGTTCTCTGAGCTCCTTGGTTTAATTGCGGAGCTTTCATCGTCTTTCTGGACGATTGATTTCATTTTTACACATTCTAACATATTTCCTGATTAATTTATCAGGGTAATTATAGAGTTTCAAAGTGAATAATCACACTAGAAGAGCATATTTCAACAAAATCTTCTGAAAATTCGAAGACTATTTCCATACACACTGATCACTAGAAAGAAATTATCGTCCTTTTACCTGACCCTCAGTGCCGACAGAATTCTTTTGGTCACGTTAACAGTATAACCATTCAGATGGCACATTTTTAATATCTCTGACTGTAGTCACAGAGGAAGAAGCTTTAAATCTCCGTCAAGGTTTCAGGTAAGTCTTGATAACAAGATGTAGGACTTGTTATCAATTACTTCTAGTCACCAGGCCTCAGGAATGCATTGTCATTTTTAAGTGTACCAGCCATAGTCTATCTGCAACAGCCTATCATGAACACTTGAAGTCTTCATGAACCGTGGAAATAAATAGCTCTAATCACTGACCAATGAATGACACATACTTTATCACAGTATTAATGAGATTTTTAGAAAACAAATGTAGGCAGTAGAATACATTGATGTTCAGAAGATTATTTGACTGATATCAAAGTTAATAATAGTTGAGGGTCTATTATTTGATTGGAGGCAATCAGCGACAAGAAGCCTTACCTGACATAGGTTTCGTCCTAGTTGGCACTCACCAGTCAGTCAGCAAGGCGTTTATGCAACCTTGGAGAAACTCGTATCTCTACTGACCAGATTCGGACCCGCATCACCTTGTGAGCGCTGCAGTCAGAGACGTTACCAGTGAGTTATTCAGGCTCGCGATTGACCTCCTGTATGACTGTAGTGTGATGTGTCTAATCTGCACCAAAGAAAGGACTAGACACTAGTTACCAGTGTCCAATCAAAGTATCCACTACAGTCCTACAGGAGGTCAATCGCGAACCCGAATAGCTCAGTGGCTGATAACGTCTCTGACTGCAGCGCTCACTGGTTGACGTAGATTCGAATCTCCCTAGAGAGGGGACATGAGCTGTTCCTTCAAGGTTGCGGAAACGCCTTGCTGACTGACTGGTGAGCGCCAATCAGCACGAAACCTAGGTGAGTCAGGCAAGGCCGATTGCCTCCAACTATCTAATATCATCCAATCAAAGTGCACCGTAATGGCAAGCTACCTAGGATAGTGGCCACATCAAAAACCTGACTGATAGAATTCAGTCTGCATAAAAGAAAGCACTAGACACACACACTACCCTAGTTACTGACTAGTGTCCAACCAAAGTTGAGAGTCTAACTTATTCAAAATATCATCTTTTCAACTATATTAGTTTCATAATGAACAAATGTATCGTCAACATCACGTGGATGACAAGATTCACTCCCGTTGTTTCAGAAAAAAATAGAATATGCTTACAGCTTTAGATATTTGATAATTTAAGACTTTGGAATCCCCATTACATGATTCCTAAAACCAATAGCTAATTACACTATTAATAATTCCAACCTCTATGCATTATTTTGATATCTCAGTTTTAATTCAACATCGGTGAGATGATCTAATCACTGGACTGCCGTTTCGTTCGTTTTGGGCAAAACTCATTAGCGGTGCACTCGATTTGACCCATCTGGGAGAGCTGAATTTCTACTATTGGTTGATATGAGTGATGTGTAACTACTCACTACAATCAGTTAGTAGTATGTGCTTTTTTGCGAATATTTTTGATTTATCAATTACCATTTATGGTGTCAAACAGATCACATAATAACGCGATCTGAATAATTTGTTCTTCAAAGTGAACTGAAGTGAACCCCTCCTCCTCCTCCTCAATTTATGTGCATTGAAAATTTCTATCTAATTTGCAAATTAGTAACGTTAGTTGAAGATAGAAACAGGAAAAAATCTATTTTGTACGTGACAAAAATCCCAAAGGGTAAGTAAGACTGGCAACATTGTCATGCATTCATTCCTTCGCCATAAAAATTTAAACTTACTCTACGTTCTCTTAACTGACGTATCTCCTCTTCTTCTTTTTCTCTTTCACCTCTACGAAACTCTTCATACTCTCTCCATTCTTCTTCGGCTCTTTCTTTTCTACGTTTTGCTTCCATCTAGATGAAGATGAATTGTCAACATTTCCCACGACATGAACTGGATGACTTACCTCCATACGAATTTTCGCTTCAGACTTGCCATCCTCACTAAGGAATGAAAGACAAAAGGAAATAAGAAACATGTATGAAACTTATATTGATAGAGGTTGTTTGAGTGAAGTATAGCTTGAGCTTCCAGTCTAATCTTTATGGGTCAGCTTATTAGCTTTAAGTATCTCACAAGTGAATTGTTGTGTAACTTTAAATCATCGTGGTTACTGATGGTTCTAATAATATGACGATATGAGAGGTGAAGGCACCAAAATGTTAAGAGGTGCGTCGGTAGCACGGCGGTAGAGTGCTCGCCGACCACACAAAGTGGTCCGAGTTTGATCCCCGGCAACAAGGCACTCCTTCACCTCACCTCGCTAAGCCAGTAGTAAGACTGGTAAAGAGGGAAGATTGAGGATGAGGCTAGTAAGCCCATCCCGTACAAATAATCACCACTTCTACAAAAACTTAAAGCCTCTAGCTTGAAGGCGCCCTACGTTCAACTGTGAGCGTAAAAGAATTTGTAAAAATTGTAAGACTGTGTCTTTCCACGTTCCTGTTTAAAATCCCTCTGAAGCCTAAATTTCTTCAGATGCCTTGGACATTGCTTAGCTTTGCCTACTTTGTCCCTCTGTCACATAAGTATCGAACACAAATGTGTTTCAGCCACACATACCTGACTAACACATTTCTCTGTTAAGAGTTGAATACTACTATACTTTCGCCTATCAAGGTTATAAAATGAAGAAATTTAGTTGTTTTCAATTCTTTTCTTTATAGTTTAAAGGGTAAGCTTTCTCCCACCTACTGATTTATTGTTATTTTGTTGGGTTCTGAACGGAACATAGGGGCTCAACAACACCTCTTCACCTTGGCCTGTTATCTCCAGTCCTCTTTAGCTGGCCCTCATGATTGCCCCTAAGCTCTCATTTCTTCCATTCCAAGCTTGAACCAACGCCTAACTCGTCGTTTATGATTCAGTTTTCACTCGAGCGATAGTCTGACACGCTATATCATCCAACCGTCACCTCAGCGGTGTGTGTCCACTCCATTTCCGTTTTCTTCTACATATTTTCTAAGTAATAGGCTCTTGATCGGCTCTTTGCGCTGAGTAGTTTCTTGTTGCTAATTCTTTCTCGCTAGCGAACCATTTCATCTTCAGGATAGCCAGATAGTGAAGATGGCAGCTGCAGACTAAATTCTGCAGTCGGTTGTTGGGAATACTTTTGATGAATCACACAGGGGAATTTTCTGACCCATGTAGAAAAAGTGATGCACTTAACATTTGTTGTTTACGCCGTGGATTGCATACGATTCACCGAAATGATTCCAGAGGGATGAAGGCATAAACTTTCTCATCCACTCCGACTGCCTGTAGTTGAGAAGATGCTACCTGGTCAGATAAATGAATTAATTGATCTATCTCTATTTCTAACTCGTTTCACTGTGACAGAGACTGGTTCGTTTAGTGTGGTTGGTCATCTTCGTCACCTCTATCTTCTCTATATCTACCCATTGAAAACTTCTGTTATCTCACACAATATATAATTTACTGTTGATGTTTAGTTTTTAATATGAAAGTTATCATCAAAGTGAATTAATGTTAGTTGCATAATATTCTTAGTACAATATACATTAGAAAAGCTGAGTATCTTATATCAAAACCCAGTATTCCGCTTCCTTAATTGCTCCCAACCGACAGCTGCTACCTTGACGCGGTGGTCGGGCTTGCCCATCGCGATGACCCAACAAGCTACGCTGACTGGAACAAATGTTCCTTCAGGTCCTACTATGCCAGGAAGGTTGTTAGGATAGCGACCCCCCCCCAGCACAGTCTAAGAATCTTTCTTACACTATGCTGGGGGGTCTGAGGGAGAAGTCGTAGTGCTGGGGGACAGGGGTGTAGCAGCCACAGTGAAGTGTTTCCCTCAAATGACCAGCATGCCAGCTAGCTATGCTGTCTCTCCACTCGGGAGGGAGGGGGTTAGAAAAGGTCGACTCCGAAAATTGTACATCCCGACTCAACCCACCTACGGTGGTCCGTAACCGGCGGTAAGTTTACTAATAATACGGAACCAAACCAAGAAACCAGTTCATACAGGCCGTGTGTGATCGGCCAGCCTCAAGTAGTTGTCCCCTGGGTTCTGCGGTCACTCAACACTAACCCTATCTCTGTTCCAAGTCCCCAAAGAATTAATCAACTTCCACGGTGATGTTGGCAGCCGGGAAGTAACAACCGCCCACACACTTCCAAAAGCACACGAAGCCTTCCTTTAATTCCAAATTACGATTTACAGCGTACATGAATTGTAATCACGTGTAGACATGAGAAAGAGTACCTTTATTCATCAATTTAATTGTTCATGATGCGCTTTGACTAAACCAGGTATCTAAGGAAACAGGGAACTTCTTTAATCTCAAAATATTTTTAAAAAAAGCTTCACTCATTCTTTGCGGTGGTTAGTTCTCAAGTTAATAAATAACTGGCTTTCTACAGAGTATAATTGGTGTCATCACCCCATGCAACATGCTCTCACCTTACATGTATATATATATAGCTACAACATGGGGAATACTTAAAATAGAAGAGGAAATGTAGCACACCCAAGGTTAACAGCACTGGGTGAGTGAATAGAGAGGAAACATTTTAAAATAAACCTTCACAGTTGGACAAGATGATTCTTTAGAGGAATAAGAATGAATTTCAAAAAATTAGTTATCAAATATTATTTTTTGGTACTATTTTTTATATGAAATACCTACCACATGAGAAGCATAATCAGCTAGTTGAGCAGACAAGACGTACATTATTTTAATGAGAGAAAAAAAGGACCGTTTGCACACCAAAGTTAAGCAAATTTTGAGGCAGATATTTATCGATTGCTTCTGACAGTGGCGAAATTTTAAACGCATCTGTACTGTTACTTCAGAAATTAATTTAATATATGTATAATAAAAATAACCATAAAAAATCCACTACAAACATGGACTCATGTATATATTATCATTAAACTCCAGAAGATAAGAATAAATTTTGTCTAGTGAATTTTTGAATTCCTCAGTTGAGTATATTTCAAAAAATGTCGCCTGATCAGAAGCTGTAAACCGCTGTATCACTAACTAACCATTACCAATAGTTAGAAAAAGATTCAACATACGTCTGTAAGCCCTTCGCTCAGTGGTCACTTATTCTTCTTTTGAAAAACCAATTTCATTGACAAAGATGCCTTCAATATCTTTGCTGTCATTAGTAACAAGTCTTACATAACCCTACAGGTCTCTACTCTTCTGTCTGTGAATGATGCAATGAAATCTGTTTTTACATCGGGGTTATGAAGTTGGAATTCTGTTAACTACGATACGAGGACTGATGGTTGATTACTTTTCAATGTTTATGCCTCGAATCAGGGTCAAGGGAAAAAACAATAACAAAGTTTAACCTTGAGAAAATCACCAACCAATCACAGTGGATTTAACGTGTGCAAATATGACTCGTAGATATATGGCTTAACTTTCTAAGAAACGGTCACAAACAGTACAGAATACCTTGAGCGAGGAAATAACCAACCAGAAGACGTTGCTTCTTTGCTAACAATAATGTACATAAAAATCTATAATATCTATTGATTTTCTTGATAAACGATCTGTTGCCTGACCCTTGTTTTCTGTCGTTACACTTTGACATTTATACTTAAGATACCTGTTATCATAAACATCATGCGATAGTATTTCAAGAAATGGACATGCAGAGGAAATAGGTGCACTTTAATTATAGATATAGTATCTTGTTGTCAATGGTTACGCGTTATATTTGAACTTTCACTCTATCGTTTGAAAACGCGTATAATAAGAAGTAATGAGGTAATCAAAAACTCCGAAACAATCTATGGGAATCATTTTGACGTGCAGTAGGTCAGATTTTTGTTGGATTTACATAAATGTATCTGGGAGGTATGCCATATATGTGTGGAGATATATATACACAAATATTTCTCTTATAAACTGTACTTAATACAAAATAGAACATTCGAGATGCATTTTAAATATTCTAAGTATAATTATTAATATTATTATTATTAGTATTAACTTACTATTCTTCTTCTCTACATGCCGATAATATAATGAATTTATATTTAAAATAGGCGGTGGAATTAAAAGTGGAATGATGCATTGAAACAAACAGACAAACTAAAACAAATTATTGACGTTTATATAGTGACAGGGGATATTTTTTGTTTTTTTTAGGGTACAATGTATGAAATAATAACTAAGATGATGAAGGGAGGTAAATAATAACAAAATTAATGCATATATATTGAAAATAATTAGAGAATAGTTGGAGGACTTCATCATGAGCTGACGTAAGTTAGAGAACCATCGGGAGTGCTCGACAGCTGTTTCCCTCGTCCTAGTCTCTCTGAACGCTTCAGCAGTACGCACCCACCGCCACGGAGGTTCAAACCCAGCACCTTCTAGTTACAAGGCGAGTTTGCTCGTAGACCATTATCCACTGGGACTGAACCAAGAACAAAACAGTTGTCCAGTACTCCCTGTAGCTGGTTTTCCAATGGTTCTCTAACTGATGTCAGCTCATGATGAATTCTTCCAACCAATTCAAAAAAAATCTCTGCAAAACCAATACTTGAAAATTTGAGAATAGTGATGTGAAATGAAGTTTTAAAAGTCATATATATATATATATATATATTAGCAGCTTCCACCCTCGAAAACTCCATACTGAGGATTAGATGGCCGATCAGAAGGAATTAGCATCAAGAGACTATGGGAATGAACCAACAGACGAGAACCTATTGCTCAACAAATATGTTGAAGAAAATGTAGACGGATAGGACACACACGCCACTGAGGAGATATGCCAAGCCATTGCTCTAGTCGAACTCGACTGGTAGTCGACGAGTTGAGTGTACGTGTGAAGGTGACGTAGAGGAGATAATGTGACGAGGAGGAGATAAGAGACTATGGAAAATCTTGGAGCCAGCTTAAGAGGCATGTGGAGAATAGAACAATGTGAATATGCACTGTTGAAGCCGGATGTTGCATTCGGAGCCCAAGGGAATAATAATAATGATATTCGTGAATCTTCAGATGGTTTCCTTAGTGTATATGATAGATTTTTACATATACTTCCTATCATAAACGATCAATGAAACGTTTCTATTTCATGACCAAAAGTTTTCTCTTTCATATAATCAAAGTAAATGGTGAATCATTCAACTTCTGCATAAATCCCATCAAAACATCATCCCCAAAATTATGTCTTCAAAAAAATCATTAAAATCGCCCAACCAATAGTCGTTGATGCTTCGTCGTTGATCACGGACAGCAAATCTAATTGGATGACTTCAGCTCTCATTTAGAATACGTTTCTTTCTCGCAATAGATTTGATTGTTCAATATCCGTACTGCCGCTTTCACAGTTATGGTGACAACTACAAATCTGAGCAGTTAAATTCGTCTTGTCAATTGACTAACCTCATTACAAGCATGTATTCACCTAATCTTGGCATCATAAATACAAACCACAGCATTCACCTTCATTCTTCTTCCAGATGGCTGGAGTAAAAACTCTAATAGGTGATTAGTGATGCATATGGATTCATATTTAACCAGCAAGCGTAACTGCTACGTAGATAAACAGGAAGACGACACATTGACTTAACGTCGTTTTTGAATAGTTCTACGGCCAAACAGTTCAACATTATTATTCACTCATGTTAGACTAGTGAGGTGACTTCCACGACTTACGACTAAGATTAGCCTCGTATTAATAGGGCATCAGTGGTCTAGTGGTATATTAATGGCTAACCACCATGCAAGTGGTCTGCGGTTCAATCTCCGGCTGACATACTCCTTTACTTCCCCTAGCTGGTAGCTATCCCATCAAAAAGGAAAGGTTGGGTCTAAGGTTAGCAACCTCATCCGATAAAAACGGAACACCACTGCTACTAAAACTTCAAAACTCTACCTTGAAGCTTTATGTTCTACTGGGAATGCAAAGCAATTCAATAAAATAATAAATCGTATCGATTAGTTATTATTATAAATAACTGTCAGAATCGACCACAAAAATTCATTTGTTATGTTTCTTTTTGTCTTCAAACAGATAATGTAAGCTGTCATTGGTTAATCATCCCACTGACAACCACTGTAGATGATTAAATGTATAATAATAATAAGCAAGATATTTTCCATACCTCAGTGTGATATTTAACGTGGATGGATTAGTGTTTTCTCAATCATTACCATTTGCAACACTGAGTTAGTTCATTTAGATTAATCTGAGTGAAATGGCAAAAAGATGTAACGCATCATACGTTTTGAGACCATTTGCTTTAATTACTCCTTTCAGTGGTCCATTCTCTAACTTAGCGAGAAAAAAACCATCTAGGATTGAACCTAATGGGGAACCTATAGCTACACCAATAATTTTTCTGTAATATTCTTTATTGAATAAGAAATGAACATTCATTGTACGCCTTAAAATAAGTCCCTTCAAGGAGGATACAGAAATGCTTTGTGAAATTTCATGAGACCAAAAATGTTTGGCCTATGTTAACAAGTCGGCTCCTTTTGTGGATAAATTGACGATATCTGAATGTTCAACTTGAAGTGGTCTTTGTGAGGACTGACAGATTGAAAGCTCTTTCTTGATTCGGTGGATGGTGGTGCATGGCAGTTGTTAGTTTGTGGAGCGATTTTTCTGGTTGATTCCGGTAACGAACGAAACTTTAACCTACTAAATAATAGACTGGTCCTCTGTGCCCGTTCAGGGCACGACTTCTATTGCTTCTTTATAGAGTAATGTGGTTGGGATCCGGCGGGTACGGTTTTTTACAGTTTCTACTTCTTAGAGGGATAGACGGCACGTTGAAGTTGTACGAAATTGAGCAATAACAGGTCTGTGATGCCCTTAGATGTCTGAAGCCACACGTGCGCTACAATGACGGTGCCAGCGAGTCTGGGAACCTGGCCCGAAAGGGTTGGGCAAACTGTTTCATCAACGTCGTGACTGGGATCGGAGCTTGCAATTATTCCCCGTGAACGAGGAATTCCTGGTAAGTGCAAGTCATAAGCTTGCGCTGATTACGTCCATGCCCTTTGTACACACCGTCCGTCGCTACTACCGATTGAATGATTTAGTGAAGCCGCTGGATTAGTGTCGTTGCAGTGGCTTTACCGCCAGACTGACACTGAGAAGACGACCTAACTTGACTATTTAGAGGAAGCAAAAGTAGTAACAAGGTTATCGTAGGTGAACCTGCGGAAGGATCATTACAAGATTTTCGAACATGTACCCAACTGAAGCACGGATATTGTTCTGGTGTGCTGAGGCATGCCAGTGGGTGTTGATTGACCTGACCAGTCGATCAGCACTATAGCATATGAACCCGAGAGTTTAAATTATAGATATTGGTTGGCATACTATCAGGTTGGTAACACCAGCAATGACACTAGTCGCCTGCCTAGTCGATCAGCACTATAGCATATGGATTGTGTGATGAGTGTTGTTTGGCCTGAGGAACCAATCAACACAAGAGAGTGAAGTATACATGATGGCTGAACCATCCAGTTGATTACTGATAGAGGAATGTGAGCTGAGTCTTCTGTTTTAGGCTTGTCAGCTGGACAGATGTACCTGCATTCCCCAGTGAGTGATGCTGCCGTCCCCATTGAGCCTGGAACCCAGTATCCATCGTTTTGAAAGCCAATGCGTTATCCACTTGACCGCTTCTATATCGGCTGCTAACTCAGTGACTATAATCTGACATTATACCTGGGATTTAGCTCTTTCTTCAACTCACTTATCTACCTTACTCGCCTAACTATTGATTCACACATCATTTATTACCAACTGATGGAGATTCGGCTCACTAGATCAAACAGTCAACTTTCAGTCAACATCTTCCGGATGCAAAACTCCCTTAAAACCACCCATCTTCAACCTGAGCCCTCACATAATAAGTGGGGCATACTTGTGCAACTTAACTCCAATAACAAAATTACTGGCGCGGACACACAGAGGGGATTCTACACGCTTAATGTGAAAATAAACGAGGGCATCATAATGACTGAAGTGAATAGCTTCCACGTCATCATCATTAAAAAAATTTATTATAATGGGATTAAATGAAACTAAAATAATGAAATAAGCATGCTTTGTTTGAGATGAATAATTTTAAAGGTCAAATGAAAAAATAAACTATCGTTAGGGCGAATTGCATAACGTAAAAAAAAAATCTAATCAGAATACACTTAGAATGAATGAGAGTTAAGCAGACATCATCCTTTTATCATTATTATTATTATCATTATTGTTATTACTCTTTTTATAGACATACATTCACCGATAGGAAATAAAAAGGTACCATCACCATGTTTACACTCACACACATACATACATACATAGTGTAACTATGACAGATACAAAGTAAAGTTTAAATGATGGGATAGGGATAGGGTAGTGTAGGGCGGACCGAGGACGAGGAGTAAGGGCAGATGAGACAAAAAACAAAGAACAATTTAATCTGAAACATACTTGGGTATGAATGCTGGAGATGGTTGTGGACTAGTGAGGATAATGATAACAATAATAGTAATAATAATTAACACAACGTTAACAACTATTAAACAATCTTTACAATATTTGAAAAAAAAATACTTTTGAAGAAAACTTTAGGAGTTATTAACTATATGGAGGATTTCACCATGAGCTGACACCAGTTAGAGAACCACTGGAAAACCAGCTGGGGTTACTGGACAGCTGTTTTGCCCTAGTTTAAGACTCTTCGTCAGTACGCACCCGCCACCAATGTTCGGACCCAGGACCTGGTGTCAGTTCATGGTGAAGTCCTCCATACGATCAAACAAAATCCCTACAAAACCAATACTTGAAAATTAATCTGATGCTCACTAGCGACTGGCCCTATTCAGGTAGTTAACCTGGAGTTCTGGTGAGAAGCTGTGACCATTAGGGTACAGCAGGTCGAAGATGAGGCAGTAACTCATCGAATAAGACATTGCGAAATGGTCGCTCTATGTCGTGAACTGGCAGAAGTTAGAATTCAAGAACCATTGGATTGGGTCCCAGTGGCTCAATGGTCTACGAGCTAGCTGGTCTTGTAACCAGAAGGTCCCTGGATTCGAACCCCGGTGGGTGCGTACTGCTGAAGAGCCCCAAACTTGGGCGGAGAAAACAGCTGTCAGGCACTCCCAGCTGGTTTTCCAGTGGTTCTCTAATTGATGTCAGTTCATGGTGAAATCGTCCATACAATCAAACGAAATCCCTACAAAACCAATACTTAAAAGTTATTAATTAGTTTATGAACTCAAGTAAACAAAACCATATACTTTCAAGAGACAGTTTGTAAAGATATGATTTTTGTCTCAACTTTGATAACAGAACCCCGGTAAGTGTGTACTGATGAAGAGTCGCAAACTAGGACGAGGGAAACGACTGTCCAGTACTCCCTGTGGTTGGTTTTCCAATGGTTTTTCTGATGAATGTCAGCTCATGATGAAATCCTGTAACCAATCAATCAGCTAAATCTCTATAAAGCATTCCTTGAAGATGGATATCAGTTAGAGAATCATTGAAAACGTGAAGGGAGTACTGACAGACAGCTGTTCCATCGATGATGTTGACTGTTATCACCCAGGGTGCTGAAATTACGAAGCTAGAATTCGTGAATTGGAAACTCGATTTGGCCCCACAATGGCTGAATAGTCCACACCTGGCGGTGAGTGTGAACTGCCGATGACTCCAAGAAACTAAGATGAAATGGCTGGCTGTCCAGTACTCCTCCCTAGTTTTCAATAGTTCTCCAACTGGTATCGATCTGTAGTCAAACTTGAAGAAGACCAAGTGTCATTTTGCATGAGGATGTACACTATCGGAAATCAAACTTGCTAAGCAGCTTTCGTTTCAGTACACTTGTATAGGTAGAAGGGAGGCAGTCAATTAGGTAGTTGAATTTGCCCAGATAGTTAGCTGACTTTGTATTACGAGCATAGATGACTGCTGTATTCATGTCAGATGTTATGTTTGACTGTTTAAAAGGTGTTTTATTAAATATTGAACAGACTGGTCGTATTATTATCATCATCACAAGGAATCTAAACTGTCGCTGAGTATTATAATTCGGTCAGTAGAGCCTAAAGTCGACAGTCAGGGGCTGATAGATGAAATTCTCCTTAAAGAACCCTTGAAAACTAACATGAAGTACTGCATAGATGTTTCGTCCAACCAGTTTGGGCCTCATCAGCACTACTCATCCACCAGTGAGGTTCGAATCTAGGATCTCTCAACTACAAGGTGAGCTCATAGATCATTCAGTCACCACAGGGACCCAACTCTCTGATGGCCCGTGAATACTAGCTTCTACAGGTTGGTAACTTTGGCGCAAACAAAAATTATTACCCTGTAGTAATACAACTAGTCTGTTACATCAGAGTTACCTAGTAATATCTCAATAAATAAAATTGCAAATACATTAAAATCAGATGTGCAAACCAGGCTGAAATTTCAAAACTTGTAAACTTAACTAATGGGTCTTCTTGGAAAAAAAACCTAAAGTCTCTTAGAAACCAATATTTTTTTCAATGCAAAACGTGTAAATGGAAGACAGATTCAAAGTGGACTGGAATTTCTTCCAATCTGAATTTACATTCTTGAATGACATCCAAATCTAAGAATTCTGAACAGTTAGATTAAGATTTTCTACCACGGCGACTAACAAATCAGTCGTGAGTTTAATCAGGAAGTGCCTTTCGGTAGATAGATTCACACAATAATTGAGATTTTTTTAAACTCAACTCTGACGTCAGAAACTGTTGTAGCTGGTGAACGAAATAAAAATCTGTGACGTAAACCTGCTCCATAAGGAGGGAGATAATTGAACAGAGATTGTCAACACACTGGTCATTCCCTCTCAATAAATGCCAGCTCCTACTTCAAGGTAATCTCTACACAAAGTGAAGAATAACCTACCAAAAGAAGTACACCTTCGTCTTCTCTACATTGCTGAAGCCGTTCAGATAGAGAAACTAGAGTTATGCATACAAAAAGAAAGTTATTCAACCACTTCTACTATCATTGTAGTAACAACTTTGTTGATTTCTACTAATTTGACTTTTAACTGATGGATCGTGACTAGCAGTGGAATCCAGGATGTGCATTCGTCCTATTTGGGACTCGTCATCTGGATGTACCTGCATTCCTCAGTCATTGAGTGATGATGTTCCCACCGAGTAATGCAGGCACAGGTCCAGATGACTAGTTACAAATAAGACGAAATTTACGTCCTGGATTCTACTGCTAGTCATCAACCACCAATTAAATTCTAATTACATGCAAGGACATCGTCGAAGCATCTGGACAAGAAGCCAACATGTCAACCTGAGACCAAACACTTCGGTCCAATCAATCGACGCGGAAATCTAAAATCCAAATAAAATAACTTGACTTTTGTTTTTCTAATCTTATGACAAAGTGAGAATATTTCTGATCCGATTATATAATCAATGATGATAGTGAGTTCAACTCATTACAGATAATTAGATGTACTGATGGAGAAGAGCACTGGCTTATTAATTATCAGACAAATACCCTAACCATTCAGTCTATCAGCCTAGTACAAGTTCACCAATCAGATATTAGCTGTAAATTATTGATTTTAAGAGTGAGTTTGTAAGAATTTGATGTATTTCAGGTTTAACTACAGATTGATACCTGATGCTAGCTAGTGACCAGCTTCAAGGGCAAAGTTGACTAGGATGACCTCTAGTGAGACATCGTGACGATCTGGGAACAAATACTCGTCACCGATAGCATTCACAGGTGTCAGTCACGGTAAAATCACAATTTGGTAGAAGTTAGAATTCATGTGCTGTCCACAGAGAAGTTGTTTCGCAAGAGGTGAATGGTCTACATGCTCTTTTCGTAACCGGAAGGCTCTCGTTTCGAACTTTGGAGATGAGAGCCTACCCCTGAAGAGTCTCAAACTAGGAATGAGCACAACGGCTGCGCAGTACTCCCTGTTAGTTTTCAATGGACAAACTTGAAATAAAAATTATGTATGAAGAATATCAGCACCATATAGTCAGTAATTATCCCTTCAGTCGGACATTCTGTTTATTAACACGTTACATTCACATAAAACTACTTTCGATCAATGTTCAATGTATCTCTATGGTTACCAATGTCAATTGTAATATTTAATTTTCTACAGTTGGTTTGTAAGGATTGAATTTGTTTTTGCAAGTTGATCACGAATCGATATCAGTTAGAGAACCATTGAAAACCTGCAGGGAGTACTGGACACCTGTTTCATCCTAGTTTGGGAATCATTGGTAGTACGCACCCATTGCCAGGGTTTGAACCCAGGAGCTTCCGATTACAAAATAAGCTAATCCGTATACCATTCAGACACTGGGACCCGACTCCTCAATGGCCATCCGATGAATGCTAACTCCTACCAACTAGTGATTTAGCGCGACCCAAACCAATGTCGTCATCCATTCCCATATTTGACTGGCTGGAGGACCTCATTGGTCATGACTTCTCACAAATAATATTTAAACTTCATTTTCAAACAAATACCATTTATGTCAATAGTTCAAGTGAAGATTATAGCTTCCTATCGGTATGGAACACGGTTTTACAACAACGAAAAAAGTCTTAATTTTTATGTATGTGAAAATGTTTTCTTGACCCATAAATGGTAGAAAATATTTCAAAAATGACCTTGACTTTAACAAGGTTTTAACAAGAAACTTTTTTTAATTTCAATGAAAAGTAAACAATCAACTAACCTTTGTTCGTCGTCTGACATCTTGTAACTTTATAACTGAATTTGAATTGAAAGTATCAATCGAAAACCTCTTCGCAGTGAAGATTCTGTGTAAAAAAAAAGATTAGACATAATAAGACATGAGGTAGATTGATGCTGACAGAAAGTAAACCATCTTGGACGATCTTCATTCACAAAAACTAAATTATAAATTCGTAGCCAATAAAAAACAGCGAAGCAGCACATCAACTTTCTAAAATTCTGTCAATCTTCTTGAAGTGAACTGAAATTCTAAGTCTTGTCAACTGTATATTACAAATAATTCGAAGAATATTTAGTGTCTAGTTTCAACAAAATCTGAAGCTTCTATCAAATTGGTTTTTTAGGTACCATGTACTCATCCACCTTAACCTTTCAGTGGATTTTAGGCTTTATAGATTTTCATCAATTTTCACAACAAAAAAATGTCCATCTCATACTCAGTGGTTGGAAGTAGAAGTGTCCTGTATACAATGTTGGAAGTTTGAGGATATTTGTGAAGAACTCATGAGCTTATATTTCTATCTCTCTCTATTTCATTTTCCGAAAGTACAGTTCAATGATGGTGAACATCTCTGACAATCCCGAGTTAATAAACCAGTTTTAACCAGTGAATTGAATTTATAAAAATTAGATGCGATTTGGAGATGGAAGTTTAAGTAATAGCCCAACATTTTAAACAGGCCGCCACTACTACTGTATTCGACAGACACTTGAACAGCTTATATGACAAAAATGGTCACGACTTTTTTGCCACCCCACTAGAAGTCATTATAAAAGATCATGTGCTCTTGATACCCTATTTGGCCTGCCTGCCTGAGTTCTGTGTGACAGAGACAGTGTTAAGTGTGAAATTTACAATTTATCGATATAATTAGCAAAATAATTGGTCCGTTTATCTTCTCTTATTTGTAATTTATAGTGACATTATTTCACAATTATCTTATAATTTTAGCTATTGACATTATTAATATTGTCATTTCACAATTCCGATTACTTATATCCAGTAATATATATATATATATTTTTTGTTTTAATGAATGTCAAGGTGGCGGGCCGTTTAAATCATTGGGCTACCAGAATTTTTATTCATCAAAATACTTAAATTCTTGTGTATTTCTTATTGTTTAAACCGTCTAATTATATCAAATAATCGATACATGAACTGGCGCGCATATTTAATTAGTTTCCCACTATAGACTATGCAGTTCTTGAAGGAATTGAAGATTGAAATGTACAGAATTGGTTTTCTCTCTTCATATGGCCAACAACAAACAGTACGGCAAATGATGCACTTCAGATTATAGCTTTACATATAAATTTTGGAGTTAGATACGCTGAAAATTTTTGTAATATATGTTCACATACTGTCTGAAATAAAGCTTTATTAATAAATTAGATGCAGTATTGCACCAAATGCTGAGATTTCCACAATGTACGATAAACTCTGTTTGCGAAATTATTCATTTAAGCCGGTTCGAGAAGATTGTAGAGAGGTAGGTAGATGACAAACGCATATTCAATGAAGATCATTCAAAGAAACTACCAAAATTGTCAATCTAACAGGATCCAAACATGAGTTTTACAAAAAAATCACCTTTCAAACGCGTTATGGAGCGTGACAACACTTCATTCAAAATACCCAGATATAATTTCATTCCATCTTGTGAGTAGTCAGCGTTTAGTTATTGAAAAACTGTTTTAACAATTATAGAGGATACAGGAAGCTACTGGTTGAATATGTTTCAGTGAATCACAGTCTTTACAATTGACTGACACAATTTTTGAATTTGCTTATTTGTATAGGTTCATAGAAAGACGAAAACCTAGGTAGTACTATCTTCAGTGAGACTCCCCAGTTGCACGCACATGTAACTGGATGAGCAACGGACCTTCTACTGCCCTTAAAACTGACCACCTATCCCTTTATAAAACAAAAAGCGTAAATCAAATAAGTAACACGGTGAAATGCCTATCCGTCAAATCAATCATGTGAGTCTGTCATGGCGGTGGTTAAAAGCAAAGCTATTAAGATTCACTCTGATTCCTGAATACATCTTCCAGCTTTCAAAAGTCTACCTACACACTGAGGAATAAATTTTTGCCTTCAGCCATATTTGAAATAACAGTACTGATGATAATAATAATAATACTGTATACGTTAACACTTACCTACCTTGTGCCGCCTTGTGCAAATCTACTGAAATGTGAAATAATATTTAAAACTCTAAGAAACACACACTAGACGACAGTAGTGTGTAGTTGGTGCTAATTTCTATTTCTCTATTTGATGATTGCAGAATTAACTCCCTTTAGCGTTGGTAAAGACATGTACAAATAACCAATTAATGTTTTAAAACCTTTTACACCCACACAACAATAAGAAGTACATTCCTATCTATCTATCCTATCTCTCTATTTATCAGGAAACATTTTACCCAATACATTGCCGTCTTACATCTCCTTACGTAAAAATTTGTGAATCTGAATTCTGAATCGATTGAAATATACTATACATATATAATCCCTAAATGTGTATATGTGTAACCTACAATCAAATCTCCTATTTTATCATTCCCCATACTATCCTACCTTTTGGGTGCGAATCAATATTGATGTTTACATGCACATACACAGGTACACACACACACTGGAATATCATTTCCATTGCCAACCTTCTAACCCAGAAATCCCAGAAAATGTTCAAATATCTCTCCCTGTGTGTTGAACGCTAATGTATCCTACCTACAACGGATAGAACAGTGTATGTTATGTTATGTGGCAATTGATAGAATATTTATTGATTTAATTCACTTCTATTGATTACTTTTATGCGCACAAATGACCTAAGAGAATGTGGCAGAAAGTGAAAGAGGGAGAGAGAGAGAGTGAAAGACTGTGGAAATGTAAAATGAAAATAACTCCAAATAACATTGTATATGAAAGTCATTCATCCTGCATGCATGCAGGATGGCGTAGAATAAGAGTGAGAGAGCGTGTGTATAGCTGTTTGTTGACGTATGTTGCTGTTGTTGTTGACGTCTGTCTTACGGATTACACTGGTAGTGTTGGCTCTTATCTTTTTTCTAAATATATAATAATTGAATCAGACAGAGATTAGAGCTTTAATATTCGTCTTTTGAGGAAACAATATATGTCCACTTTTAATATACGTAATAATAATAATAATTCGAGTTGATCACGGATTGATATCAGTTAGAGAACCATTGAAAACCAGCCACATGGAGTACTGGAAAGCTGCTGTTTCATCCTAGTTTTGGGAATCATCGGGAGTACTCATCAACCACTGCCAAGGTTCGAACCCAGGACCTACCGGTTACAAGGCAAACTCGTATACCATTCAGCCGTTGGGACCCGATTCAATGGCTCATGAAGTCTAACTCTCCAGTACTCCCTGGTTTTCAATGGTTTTCAAACTGATATCAATCCGTGATCAACTCGTAAAAGCATAACTAACCCTTACGAACCACCAAACTATAGAAAATTAATAATAATAATCACCGTCGTGGTTGCTGTAGTTATCTCTAAGCTATGAAAATGTAAATCCTATTATCCGTCCATTGTAGACCGTGCATTATCTTTCATTAGATATAACATCTGAAAGTCCCCTTGGTAGAATGGAGAAGATTTGTAGCTCAGTGGAGTGATATTGATTGCATTATGTTCTCTGAGCTGAGCTAGCCGACTTCATTTACTGTCCATGCCAAGATAAATATTAAATTGCATCATACTGGAGAGGTTGACACGTGCTCTGGATAGGAAATCGCCCCCAGATCCGCCTGTTTTCCGACAAATAAGAAAACAATCGTGTGAGAATCAAATTTTAAAACTACTTTTCACCATCTAATAGGGTCTAAATTAGTAGTCAACTCATTACCTCAATTTCATCGAATTTGAAAAGGCTGTCTAAAGCGTTATCCGTAGAGTAAACTGAAAGCCGCTTTAATATTATGGGGTCAGTTAAAAAGGGATTCCAAGGAGCAGAATGAAACAGCGATGTGCTGCTAAACCTCTTTGTTTCTCTAACGAACTTCTTTCAAGGAGGAGAGAGAGCGAGTGAGCTATGTTCACTGCCCTATAACCTGAGAACTGTATATTACCACCAAGTACCATGGGTTTCATGAATCACATCACCATTCAATCAGTCTGAATACCTCTTAAGGTCAAGAAACCATTAACATCCTGAGGTGAACGTAAAATCTTATCTTATAGTTTAATATCCCATGAGTGCAATGCCCTCTCATGTACATACTACTGTTGTCCCATCTTCTGCTGTTGATTTATCTTATCATCCAACCTGTTAATCTGTGAACATTATCATGATAATGGTCTGCACTAGAAACTGCGCTGAACACTTAGTAGTATTCAAAGGTTTTTGACTGAATGTACAATCCTACTATCGATGTTTGAGATTAAGTTTCAACTTTTTTAAATTGTTGTTATGCTGGATTCTATGCATCAATAACTTGGTTTTCGGAGACCGCATCCATATGTTCCTATTTAAATTCAATGCGTGTATCTTGTGAAACTGACCTCATCCCTATATCCAGCCTTCATCGAAATTGTTGAAACTGATATTTCTGCAATAGGAAGGTGGTTAGTATCATTGAACGAAAATGTCTCATTTCAGACGGCATGTCAAATGTTTTATCCTCAGCCAGTATGATTAAAAAAACTGGCCTTTATCGTATAGGGTTCGAAAGTTAAGACACGTGACTAATCATCAATAAAGTGGCTTTCGATTTGACTGTGTTCTGTGAGCTAAGTTGAGTGATTCAATTGTGAAGCTTTCGCTGTCCTCCTTCTAAACAACATCTTCACTGAAGGCTTCAATATAAAATCAACATTCAAGTGATGGTTTGTAGGGATTTGATTGGTTTCAGGATTTCATCATGAGCTGACATTAGTTAGAGAACCATTGAAAACCTGCAGGGAGTACTGGACAACTGTTTCGTCCTAGTTTGGGACTCTTCAGCAGTACGCACCCACCACCACTGTTCGAACCCAGGACCTTCCGGTTACAAGGCGAGCTCGTATACCATTAAGCCACTGGGACCCGATCCAGTGGCCAGGCCATGAATTCTAACTTCTGCCAATTCACGACATAACGCAACCGCTAGCCAATGTCTTCGGCGAGTATTTGTCCTCACACCCGACTGGCTGCACCCTACTATCACGACTTCCGGTCGGGTGTGAGGACAAATACTCGCCGAAGACATTGGCTAGCGGTTGCGTTATGCCGTGAATTGGCAGAAGTTAGAATTCAAGGACCATTGGATCGGGTCCCAGTGGCTTAATGGTGTTCTAGCTCGCCTTGTAACCGGGAGGTCCTGGGTTCGAACGATGGCGGTGGGTGAGTACTGCTGAAGAGTCCCAAACTAGGACGAAACAGCTGTCCAGTACTCCCTGCAGGTTTTCAATGGTTCTCTAACTAATGTCAGCTCATGATGAAATCCTGAAATAAAATCAACATGTTCGAATTCCCTACGAATGACAATGTAATTGTATTTCGTAAGTACCATTCCTGTGATTGACTGTTAATTCACATCGATCATCTCCATTGATTTTGTTCTCATTGCGATTTGCTTTTTATTGGTTGATAGATTTGATCTATGAATAGTAATGTGTGTTTGTTAATCGCTCACTGATTCATTCGAGTACCAGGCTTCTAGAATTTCCCTGGTGTTACTTTTGGTGTTTCTTCTGTTTGAAATTTCAACATTCTCTCAATCATGGAGTTAGTGTCCGTGCCCGAAACCTAACTTTCCCTCATTCTGAGATCTTATGATTGGATAGTAAACTTTGGATGGCATTTATATTATCTATGTCAACTGGTGTATTAACTTAACAAACTGACCCATAAATCCCAATTCGGTGAACAATACACCCAGATCCTTCAGTTGATTGTAACAAACTGAGAACGCAAACATTTATCAACGTGAGATGAACACTTCTTTCCACAACTTTGCTTTGTCTCCCAGAAAATGGAAATATAATAAATATTGCTAACAATTTACATATTTTAAGTGTTTGAAACAGATGTAAAATTCACAATTTATAGAACAATATCAGATAAGAAAATATGAATACGGAATAACGAATATGAAAATATTTCCGAGAGATAGTTAGTTTGTAAGGATTTGATTTGTTTTTCTAGTTTAACCACGAATTAATATCATCTAGAAAACTATTAAAAACTAGAAGGCAGTAATGGACAGTTGCTTCCTCCGTTCTATTGTGGGACCCTTCATCAGCGTGCGTCTATAGGACCTTGAACCCATGAGCTTCCGATTACAAGAAAGTTGGTAGACCACTCAGCTATTATTGGGACACGACTCCTGAATGGCCAACAAATGAATTCTAACTTCTGTCATTTTGTGGTGAGTTCAACGCGACCAATGACAGCCAGTTTAAACGGTGGTGGGTATTTGTACTCACTCCCGATTCGACAAACCCACTGGTCATGATTTCTCATCAGGACTGCAGGCGAATTCGTCCTACACACAGTTAGCCAGTAGCGAGTATAAGAAAAATTTTGAAGAGTTGTTTTGTAGGGATTTGATTTATTTCAAGTTTTGGTCATGAATTGATACCAGTTGGAGAACTATTGAAAACTGGTAAGGAGTACTGGAAAGCTGTTTCATCGATGGCATTGGTTGTTCCAGTCTGGCCAAAATCACCAACTGGTGGGAGTTGGAATCCATGAGTATGTCATTAAGGAGTCGAGTCCCAATGGTGGCTGAATGATCTACCAGCGTGACGAGTAACCGGAAGACTCTGAGTGCTTGCAGAAAATGGGTTCCGAACTAGGACAGAGGAAACAGCTGTCCAGCACTGTCTGATAGTTTTCAATGACTGCGTAACTGATATCAATCCATGATCAAACTTGGAACAGAATAACAAAACCGAAAAAGTTGTCCACTTCAATATAATATTTTAATATTGATATAAATATAAAACTTGGGCAGTGTGGTAGAGTATAACTCCATTATGGATAAGATTTTATTTTGATAATTCACACAGTGTCTGTTACACAGCAATATTAACTGATGACCACGTTTCGAGAACAAATTATTGCTGCTCATAATCATATCAAGGCACTAACCACACAACTTTCTTGCTTCATTTATATACATGTGTGGAATTGACTAGATATTTGAATAAAAATCAGTATGAGATAATGTACATTCAGAAATAATAATAATAATAATAATGAGTGTTATTGATCAATTACAATCAGATGGGTAATAAAACGAGTGTTTTTATAGTCATGATAAGTTACTTGTTAGAATGTTGTGATGTGCTTGAATTGAAATAGAATTTTGAGATTATTTATTATCCTCTCTGATTTTACTGACTGACTGACTGGTGGTAATAATATCTTCCATGCATATCTCTGGTATTCGCATTGAGTCATTTCAGTTGCATGTGTTGTGTT